CCTGCAGCTCTCTCTGTGTGTGGAAGCAGCGGTCTCTCTGCAGAGGCCAGACACGCCCCCTTTCAGATCGCAGTCAGAGCTCTCCAATCAGCATGGAGTATGAGATAAGATGATTGGAGAGCCCTATCTCTGACTCAGCAGGGGGTGTGTCTACCTCTGCGGAGAGACCGCTGCTTCCAGGGGTCAGACATTGGACTCGGAGAGGAGACTGGAATCTGATGAAGACCACACCCCATTATAATCTTATATTCTGCTTCACGGTCCCCTCCCGGTCCTGACCCCTCCCACCCGGGAAGAGCCGGACTCCGCCATTGACACCCCCTCCCCGCACCATGTGACCATCCCCGGAAGAGTGCCCCTCCCCCAAACTGTCACCCACAAAGTCAACCCAAATCGCCATTGACATCACAACACACCACCCCCCCGCACCATGTGACACTCCCCGGAAGCGTGCCCCTCCCCCAAAGTCAACCCAAATCGCCATTTTCCCAATTCGTATTCCAGAAGTTCTCCACTTACATCAACGTCGCTTTCGGCGATTCTGACCGGCCTGGCGGAGCGATCCTTCAGAGATTCTCTTCCCGTCACCTGAGGAAGACACAGCGGCGTTATGACCGAAGCGCGGCGCCTGCACTGACAGCGATGCGTCCAGACACTGCCAAGCCGAAGCACATGCAGCAAGGCCGCACTCCGCGCTAACAAGTCTTGGTAACATGTCCCCGGCTATGAGGAAGAACTCCACCCGACGCTGAACACATCCCGGGCCCCGCACCATCCGGAGGGGAGAGGGAGGGGCCAGGTAGTCCAGAGTGCCAGCCAATAGGAGAGCAGATACAATCGCCAATCCTGACGGGACCTGATTTGGGCTCCGTCCACCATTTGTGACCGCGGACCTGACACAGGACGAGGGAGCCACAGCCGAAACTTCGGGGTATACATTATAGAGATCAGGGGCGCCCACAATTTCTCGTATGGAGATCGCCCGGAACGCAGGCACTAATGTGGCTGCATTCCGGGTGCGGGCGATCGCACTGTGGGCGGGGGGCGTGGCTGCGGCGCCATTAACTTCAATACAACCCCACACCCCCTCCTGCCCCTGAACGTAGGGACGTCACCCAGCGCCACGCCTCCAGATGTGTTTTTTTATTTATTAGTTCATTTTTATATTTACATTTGTTTGTTTTTTTTACTGTTGGGGGAGGGGCTTCGGGGGAAACATTAGGGGTCTAAACAGCCCCCCTGATATTTCCCTTTTAAAATAGAAAAATAAATTAAGGACACAAAGTCCTCAGAGACACACAGAGTCCTCAGAGACACACAGAGTCCTCAGAGACACACA